TCTTCGAGGAATGAGCGATCACGAGCACAATATCTACCAAATCGAGATCAGGACGCGTGCCCGAAAAACTTCAGCCAGATCACCCCATGGCCTCTCCTACACCCATGCCGACCACCTTCAGTACCCTTTGTCTATACGACGCCCAACCCGATTGCCCCAACATCATAGCCAACCCACCAGGAATATCAACATCGAACTCGACCATGCTCAATTCCGCTGTACATTGCACCGACACTGGCACTGCCATGCCTGATGTCCCCGGAACCACCCTGGACTCGAGGACATCAAGCAACTCTTCAAACTCTGTCTGGACAGGAGGTCGCGGGAAATACAGAGAAAAGCTCGTAAGTCGTGGGAGCAAGACCCGATGGCACTGATCATGGCCTTTTCCTTTCTTTATCCCGCATTCACTACTAGCAATGTCACGTTGAGTGAAAGTAGACTGAGGTTTAGACTCAGATGTCAATCGAGCCCTCGGTACCCTTAATCGCCTAAGCACCTCGCCACCTTCACCTCGTAGTTCCCCCAAATACGATCTCGGCCCCCACGCATGTCTGCCCAGTTTTAGCTGCCTCAACTCCGGCATATGAGTGAACAACTCAATGAGCTGCCTCGATGTTATTTCTACCGTCGAAAGAGTGAAGTTTTCCAATCCACTAAAGCTTTCTGATCGACTCAAAGTTTCTAATCCATCGCATGAGAAAAATCGCTGACGGTGCAAAAATCCAATCATGTCGTTCACCACCTGATCGTGAACAACCTTCGAGGTAAGCTTTCCTCCTGTTAGCGAGAGTGTCCTCAATGACGGTGTACGTCGGATCCAGTTCGTGAGCGGAGGTTGATCAGTGGCTAGAGAGACACTGAGGGTGCGGAGGTGTGGAGCATCTATTGCGATATTCTTAAGGAATCCGTTATCAAAGGAAGCAGTCGTGGAACTAGTAAAAGTACTATTCCAGTCGTAGATGTGGCTGTAGTTATGGTGGAGTTGAGATGTAGGCGAAGCTCCTAATGTAACTCTTCCCACTGCTGTCTCCAAATCGAGCGCAGCTGGAGGTGGAAGCGCAAGAGCAGGAAACCGTTCTTGATCAACCTCCACCGTTTCAAGATGAGAGCACAATTTGAGGAGGGTGTATAACGTCGGTAAGGATGCACTCCCTGTCAACATCCGAATTTGTGAGTAGGGGAGTTGTGGAAGAGGACGGCGTTCTATTTCTCCTTCCGAAACTTCACCGCGATCCCCGTGGTCGGGGTCTCCATTGATACCGTCCACAATATCACTGAGAACGGCATTGGGAGATTCTGACTGAGAATCCCACGCAGGCCACCACCTCATCTTTACCACCCTCAATATATGCAGCTTCGGTGAACGCACAAACGACGGAAGACGATATTCATCCTGCTCCTCGGTCAACCCACTCGAATCATACTCCAAAGTGAGTTCTTCCAAAATCGGATACCTCAAACCCTTCAGGAACTGTCTCGCAGAGAGATACGGTGCCGCAGAGGGAGAGCTTGACCCGATAGCGATGTATGCACTCTGCCACCTATCTGAAACATCAAACAACAAACCCGCTGCTGCCGCTACGGGATTGGCCGGCAAAATGGTGATATGGACGTGGAGAGGGCAGCCTTTAGAGCGGAACAAGGCCAGTCTAGTGTAGTGAGTTAAGTTGATGTAAGACTCGAATGGGTCTCGCTGTGACTGATGGCTGGATGAGGATTTGGATCTGTCCGACGTGTTATGAGGCATTCAAATTATAGTAACCATATGCGTATACGTACCTATAGGGCGGAACATGATAATAAACCCAAAGCTTTGACGTCGATATACACACGTTCCGCCATCGAGAACATATTTGCGTCAAGCTAAAAGGAGCGAGTTGTCTTTTGGAAGAACCGTCCTCCGAAGTCGTATTATTCGAATGGACCCAAGGGAACGACATGACGAACTCGTTAAAAATCTGGCCGAGGAGCTCATCCGGAAGTCGAGAGATAGGTGAGAGCAGGTAGGTGTAAAGGTAGTATTGAAGATCAAGATTAACCCCTTTTGACCAACGAAACATTGGACTCGTGGATATTGGAGCTGGAATTTCAAAGAATGGGGAGGAAGATGGTAATGCTGCCATAAAAGAGAGCCGTGAAAGGTGTACACCTAGTGACGGATCAACAACTGCAAGGTCGTTGAAAGAGAGATAAGTCGGGATGGTTGATTTCTCCGGAGGGGGTTCGAAAAGCTGAAGAACACCGTCCTGATCATGCTCACGACCTGACCTAGACGTCTCGCAGGAGGTCTGTGGAGACCAGTTGAGGATATGTGAGTATCCTGAAGAAGATGCCATGAAGTCTCAAGGACAGTCTCCTCTGTTTTGAGGGGTTTCTCAACGTAGGGAAGGCAATGAAAGTCAATGTAATAGGAGTGTGTCTGATATTCCTGGCGCCCGGATTCGGGTTCGGAAAGGCTCTATATAGGAAGCCTTAGCAACGGCTCTCCTTCTGATCGTCCAATATTCCAAGATAGAGAAATTGTTCAAACCATACTGGATGAAAGAATGGGATCTGGTTTAGCCTTTGTCGGCCATCCGAAACTCTACCTCCAAGACCAAGCGGAAACCTTTCCTAAGTTCAGTCTGGATGCATACTAGAGCTCCCAAGCAGCATCTAATGATAGGAATGGAGCCTAGACTTGGTGCAATGTCAGAATTCAAGGTATACTCGGGAAGGCGTGAAGTTTTACCAAAAGTAACTCGATTTGGACATCAAGTTCAACATCATGAACTGAGCTATCTTTGACTGGAGGCATGTTAAGAGTCATTCTGTATCACTTCATGTCATTGACTGTCATAGTTGCTACTGTGGAATCGAGAGAGACGAGCAGTGAGTGAGCTTCCAGATACAGAAAATCTATTTAGCGCTTATAACTTTGCTCAAAATATGATTACAAGCTATGGGTTGAGTAAGCATGATTACGATTATTCTCCCCTAATTCGCAAACTCGGAATGTATCTGGCGACAAAGATTTCTAGCATTCCGGAAGCAGCGACATGAATTTTGTTTAATAGTTGATTACAAAAGGATAAGAGTTAGACAGAACACATTATTCTTACTCCTTGATCTTCATCTTGTGAAAAACACCTGCCCATATCGTAAGTCAATCATTCTTTCTTTCAAAAGCAAAGTGATCATGGTACCTGGGATTTCAGGCATCCACGTTGAACGACTCTCACAGAAGAACTCTCCCTTGGGAGGCAGCGCATCTGGCTCGTCTAAACTACCGAGACAGATGAAACGGAAGTCATCCCTCACCGGGTCCTGACGGTCATGAGAATGAGCAAGTAGGAGTAATCTCCGAGTTGACGAAGAGCAACACGGTTGAAATTGCACTCACCCCATACTCAAGGATAAAACTACCACAATTGTCACAGAATTCGCGGTGAAGGATTGTTCCGGAGCCGTTGTCTCCCACAAACTCCTTAGGTTTGCCAGAAGTGTACTGGAACGACATCAGTGGGACTTTTACAGTCAAGCCATAGTTTGTTCCAAAGGCTTTCTGACAAGAATTAATACAGAAAGGCTGAGATTACGATTAGACTTACTTTACAGCTCGAGCAATGACACAGCGACGTTCGTGCCGCTTCGGGTGACTCTAGCTCCAGCTTGTATTCGAGAGCATGGCAGTAGCAGGATCCAGAAAGCCTCATTATGACTCGGAGCAGCAATCATTTGGATACGAGTGCCTTATAAGTTTGCAGCACAGATGGGTCATAAAAGACGTCGTACTTATGTGACGTCATTTCCCATCTACACAGACGGAGCACATTGCAGGAGAAAATCCAAATCTTTAGCCAAAAATACGCCAGTCGTCGACACGAGCATGAGTAGGAAGTCCACCGTCAGGCAATCTCGTTGTAGTTAAATCTCCATTGAGACACAGGCCCGATGCCGTCCGTCCACTGTCCCGTAAGCACGTAGAGGTGGATTTAAAAAGCAGATTCAACCCTGCTGTTTGTTTTGGATGCGATGTACAGAGGGAAGCGAAAGCAAAAGACGTAAATTTCATTATTTCTGTTACAGACATAGAGTATCATGGTTGGTCTTCAGCAGACGCATCGCGATGTAGATGAGTGAGTATTCCCATGGCATGTACAAAGAATGGTCGAATCTCGTTGATTTCCATCGAGCACAAGTTCGATAACTGTTTCTTAAAGCTCAGTTGAAGTTCTTAGTCAAACAAAAGAGGACACGCACACTGAGTTCACCCCGATTTATCTGATCCACACCCTCACGACTCTTTGCTTGACGCGCTTCCCTCAGGTCCTTCAACAGATATCGTATTTTATCTGTACTTTGAATATCATCTGGCGCACTGTGACCAGCGTATTAGGCTAAAAGATATTGATAATATGAAGAAAACAAGGTGACTTGCACATCCAACAACAGTTTCGACACTTCCGCGTATCGGAACGGAAGCTTACTAAATCCTGGCTCATTAATTTCTTCATCAAGGCGAGACTGCAAGAATTCTACAAGAACATATAAGTCGCCGTCTCGCGTCAGGGAGCTTGAGAAAAACGCGTACCAACACTAAGCCATTCCGGAGCAACGATATGACATTTCTTCTTCAATTTTAGATTGATTGCCATCCACAATGGGATTTGGGCTTTTCTGGGCGGTTGTAGAGGGCCGAAAGCACCCTAAGTAGTTCCAAGTCCATTAATCCAAGCGTAAGTAAGGATCCAAGGTAAGGTGGATTGACTTGCTAGTAAAGGCGCGAGCTACGGACAGATATGAAGGCAGTCTTTTCTATAGCGATGAGAGGGATGATCTCTATCAGTTGCTGCGAGGCGATGAGTTCAAGTTCTGGAGGTGTTACAGAGGTTCGCAAAGATTGTGGTAACGACATTGTACTGGTAAGGGGAAGAAAGAACTAAGTATGTAGAGAAATCCGAAGTCAATATTGCGTGCTATGTCAATGTATTTCTTTACATCTCACAGATAAACAATCCCTGGTAGTATATCGGTTAGTACACGCGCCTGTCATCTTGGTGCAATACCGCGCGAAAGCTGGGTTCGACTCCCAGCCAGGGAGAAACTTTTTTATTCCCGGTCACCGTTCAATCCTACATTAGTGGTAACAGTTGAGAAATCGTTTCGAAGATATATGCTACGTACAACAACCCCAAATCGAGGATGTCACACTGGTCATCTTCCAATGAGGCTTTCAAAGGTTGCTTATGATTGATAATTGCCTGTAATAACTACAAAAGCGTAATCAAAATCCAACACTGCAATCTCAAATTTTTACCCAGAAATAGGTAGCAACAAAGTTCTTTCACTCAATCCTCCTTCCCACCTCCATTCTTCCCATTCACCTCAATTTTCCTCATCACCATATCCAGCTGCTTCCTTAACCCTCTAATCTCCTCCAACATCAACGCCTCACTCGACTGTGCCGTATTCGGGAACACCTTGACCAACTCTGTGAACGGCACCTTGCTTATCCTCAACCCTGTATCCGCATCCGATCCATCGACTTCAGGATCCCTGGCTTCTGGGTATGCATTATCTCCTTCGTTGTCCCCGTGCAACCAGTTGGTCATCCAATCGTTTTCTTGTCGTGTGAATACGGTTTCGTAGAAAGCGATCGCGGTGAGAGGGATGAAGAAAAGCACGGACATGATTATGCGATTCAACTAGTTGAAAAGTTGAATGTCAGCTCTCTTTCTCGGGGCGTATCGTGACAAGCAGTCGCGCGAGACTAACCTTTGCGTATCGTTTTTCACTGAACCAGTATCTACATCATAAAAATCTCATCAGTTTGCTTTCTCTCAGTAGACAGGAGTGCAAGAAAAGACGCACTCAAACGGTGAAACGAGGAACGTTTCAATTAAATTGAACGGGGCTGGATAAACGTACGAGTCCGGCGCTCGAATCATGCCTACAGTTTTCCCTGCGAAAAAGGCAAGATACTGCGCCTCTGCATCATCCACGACCTGGCGAAAAAAGAGTGCTCAGATTTCATTTTCAAGGACAACGGTCGAGATGATACTGTAATAGAGTGTACTGACATCTTGATATGCTGAAGCGAACAGCGAAATGAGTACGTTGAGGAGAACAATGACCGTCACAACGTTCCAGCTGTGAGTATCAGAGAGACCGAAGGTTAACCTAGAACCGTGAACCGAAGACGAGAGACGTACAGGTAATACATAGTCAAACCCGAGGGACTGCGAGCAAAAATGTCGTATCAGTCGCGGCTACAAAGGTGCTTGTTGAAACTGACGATGCAATTCACCTAGATGCATACCGCGAAAAATCGGGTGACCTGAAACAGGGATCAGTACGAACATTCAGATCAGAAATTTGATAGACCCACTGAAGTAACGCCTGCACCAATGCGTTTACCACCTAAATCAAAGCATCGTTGAAGGACACCTATTTTTACACAGACAAATGACAAGCTCACTCCTGAAGGAGCTTCAGTAGTCCCATCAGCAGCGTCCAATGCGTACATCGCTTGTCCGAATCCAAGGGCCAAGATTGAAAGTAGCTATACGTTGACTCAATCAATGGCGATGATGGATGAACTCTAGGAGTGCTCACAGCAAAGAAGATGCTAGATTCTTGTAGCATACGAGCAACGCAAATTTGCATCATTCCGACATATTTGTATCCGTCAAAGACCGTGATGAGCCCTGACCATCAAGAAGAGGTCAGCCACCATAGTAAAGTATCATAAACGATACACACTCATCCTACAACCGACCCACCAAAAAATCAGCATAGGATACGGTAAGGCAGTGACAAAACACTCACCAAATGAACGGTGCAACAAAACTCAGCACTTGAAAACTATTCAGACGCAAAGTAGCGGAATAATCAGTGTTATCATGCAAGCCAACCATGCGGAGGATGAAAGCAGCCAGCAACAATGAGTTCGTAACAGAAGCTACAATATTCCAGAAGGAGAAGGCACGCCAAGTGACGAATCTAAGGAGCTTGAATAACTACATAGATAAAAAAGGGCATCAGGGAGAGCAGACTACTAGGAGATGCAACGATTTACTCTGTTCATGTCTGGAAAACAAAGGTTGTGAGCGACAGAAACTTGATGTAAGCCAGGTAGTGACTATTCACCTTCAACAAGCGTCGACAGAGCAATGACATAAAGGATGACTTCCCAAGCATCCATCGTATTTGTATATGACGGGTCCGCTAGACGTTCCACAGGTTGTCGCACTGCACGAAGGAGGCAAATCAATTTGAAAGGTTACCTTTGTGGGCAGAATAGACCGACATACCAGCTTGAGAATATACAACAAGGAAGAATAACCAGACCACGATTCTGAAAAAGTTCTGGTACCGCGGCACGCAAAGACGCGATGGATTTACGTGACTCCAGAAGCTCCCAGTCTGAGACTCCGAGTAGGAGACATCTGCGACAAAAGTAAAGTTCATCAGTCCGGCAAAAGTGGGAGGAAGTATAAGTATGTAAATTCACAATCAACGTCAAACTTATCATTCATCTTCTGAATCAAATCACCCTTCCAGAGGGAATTCACAACTAGAGAGACTTGTATTAGTAGCTGCATTCTTCATGAAAATCGGGATAGAGCCTAACCATCTTGAGATTCACTCGAGGATAAGAAAATTGTACTGACGGAAAGACGCGTCACTGAAAGACCCTCGAGCACAAGTGATTCCACTGACCAATGGGAATCAATAGCCATCTCCAGGGCACTAGCAGGATCGCTCTCATCCCCGTCAATCTGTATATGTGTATACCTCGTAGCCATAACGGCAGCCAAACGCTCCGGAACATTTAAATGAACGATTCGACGCGCAAGTACCTCACATGCGATTGCTTCATGGAGAGGAAGCGTGAAGGTGGCAACCGATATTACACGTGGACAATGCTTTTAAGACGGATGAAAGCCTACCTCGACCAAAGTTTTCGTCATAATCAGCAGCATTGTGGTCTGCATCCCACATGAATTCAGCGCGCGCACGCAAGAGACAGTAAGGTAGCTAGAGCATTTTGGTAAATTTTTGAGATGTAGCGGACTGTGTACATCGGTCGTTGTTCACTCACAGCTTCGTCAAAATCTCCAGCAGCGGCGCGGTATGCAGAAATTACTTGAGGCGTTATAATTCGACTTGTAGGTTCATTAATTGCTTTCGGGTCAACCTCAACTGGAAGAAGCTTGAGAGTAAGAGCACGAAGTCGTTTGACAAGTTCTGTTGGTGGATTAGCATTATTCATACTGTAGCAATGTGAAGTAGTGAGAGCCTACTTGTTAACGTCTGCGGTGACGGTTTAGTGGTCTTCGTAGGAGGTAGAATTGAGCCTCCACTTCCAAGTTCCGCTGAGAACCCATCGGACATGGTAAACGTACAAGGTCAAGTCGAAATTTTGAAATCCCGACGTCATGAATGTTCAGTAACAAGGGTGGCTGTCCCATCAAAGAACTCATCTTGTCCATTGAACGCCATTATGCCAGTGAGTAATTATATATTTTACTGGTATTCTGAAAATTGAAGTTTTTAAGGCATACCATTCATCTTTCAACGAAGAGCCGGATGTCCGTCAGGTCGGAAATATGTCAATTCTTCCTATAAAGACAAGATATCGCGGGGTTGCGCCTCTTGGTGCGTGTTCGTCCTGTGATCTATGATAAAATACTCTCAATACTATCTATAAACAGCGGATCCTTCTCAGCCAGATATAATCGATGAAACTCTCGACTTATTCCGCGCCAACTCTCTGTTCCGTAACTTTGAAATCAAAGGCCCCGCAGACCGTACTCTCATTGTCCTCATCCTCTTCGTATCCGACTGTCTAGCCAAGATCGGCAGCTCTCGCTCGACGCCAACCAAGATCGAGGCGACGAAATCGTTAAATACCTTGTCTGTGGACAGTTTCCCGATACCAGGAGATGCCAACTTTGCACTAAATGCACATTATGCACCTGCTGCAGGTCGTGCGGATGCTGGTGCGTACCATATCAACTCGAATGTTACAATATGCTTAGACCGGCTTTGCACTCAGAATTCCTTCGTTCGTATCTCACTCAGGTGCGGCAGGAGCTATCACTGCGCCTGGTGACTATCCTCTACGCCGATGGTGATATTCCTAGCAAATGGTGGATGTCCTTCCAGAAGAGACGTTTCATGAACAGAAGTTTAGGTGCATGATTCAAAGTAGATCCTGTATAATAATGCGAAGATCAAAGCATTGTTCTACTTTTTGTTCCTCCTTCTCTCGTTGGGATTTTTACGGCCATGCCCAATTACAGGCAGATCACCATTAGATCTGCTCGTCCGTCCTTTACCACCTGCGCTAGCAGATATGATTTCAGGTATCCAATCCGGATCCATCCAACTACCGACAGCTACGCCGCCTTCGCCCTTAGCACTTCTTTCCAATAGACCCTTCATCATTCGCGCCTCTTCCCTCTCCTGCTTTCCTTCCAATCGCTTTTTAGCCCGCATATACTCCAGCTGATCCTCTCTCAGAATGAGCCCTTCTCCTGAGCCGTGTTTCGCAGAACCAGGTTTTGGTGCAGGTATCGAATATTTTGTCCCACGTAGCTTGTACTGGAAATTAGGTTTGAGATGGACTTGCATTGCAGGTGTATCGGAAGTTGCATCTGGTGATGAAATTGTTACTGATGCACGGATAAGTGTTGGATTTCCGCATGCCGGGCAGAACTGTTTCGACGCATCCTGACAAATTCTGAGTTCTATGAGATCAGTACTGTCCACAGCTTTTGACCATCAAATTACACACTTGAAGCAAGCATGGCATCTAAGGACCCAAGTCTTCACTTTCTGAATCCTCTTCCCTTCCGTACCGACCAGGTTGAGCCCCATCTGCATCAACACGTTTTGCATAGCGAAATCAGCCGTCATACATCCAACATCCACATATTCCTCTTTTTTCTTTCCTTTACCTTGCTTTCCCTGGCCTCCGGTGGGTAGAAGATCAAGTGCTCGAGATTTATGTAGCGCGACGTTGGCTGGGGTGATCCATTCGCCTTCGCCGTCGTCTGAATCGGAGGGATCGTCATAGAGCGGTACATCGGGTAT